TGGCCCAGAAACCAGCAGGCAAACCCCAAAGGCCCTGCACCCTGTAAAACCAGATCATATCCGTTCTAACCCCCGGACAAAACCACCATGAAACCAGCAACAACTTCCATAGAACCCTCGCAGTCCAATACCGCCTCCATTAAAACCACAAAACTACTAGTAAGGCCAAAACCTTAAAGCCTACAGCCCTATACTCAAACAGCTCACACAGAGCAAGATGCGGAAGCAGACATTAGCAACAAAAGCTGGAACCCTCAAAAGCTAAAGCCCACCCTACACGCTGACCCTTACCTGGACCCTGAATAAGCTACCTTGTCAAGTATTCATTTAAGGAAATCCTAATAAGGAGGCTTTAGAATCGTAGAAGTATTTGAATGAGGAAATCATAATAAAACAAGGAGCCCCAAAATCGTAGAAGTAATTGTATAAGGAAATCATAACAAGGAGCCCCAAAATCGTAGGTTCTCTACAGGGCCAGGGACGCCCAATCTCTCAGAAAAATGCCTGCGTAACCCAGAGACTCAAATATCCCTTAATTAAGGAACATCATCATATTTTGAGGTACACTCCTTAAATTATCATGTATACCTGGAAATATAAAGGGATCCCTACTATAATTTAAGGTATATTCCTTAGGTAAGGGATATTGGAGTCTCTGGGAACTCGCAGGCTCTGAAGCCCGAACTGCAGGAGCCCTTTGTTGTTGTGTTCAGGGTTTGGTGGTTTAGGGCTTCAGGGGTTTAGGGTTTTAGGGGCTTAGGGGCTTCGGGTTCTTTAGGGTTCTTTAGGGTTTTAGGTTCAGGGTTTTAGGGGTTTAGGGTTCTTCAGGGTTTAGAGCTTTAGAGTTTAGGGTAGGTGTTTGTTTGAGGGTTTGGGGGTTTAAGGGCTTTGGGATTCACGGGTTTAGGCGGTGTTCAGGGGTTTAAGGGTTTGGTACATTGGGGTTTACGGTTCGGGGTTTAGGGCGGAGACAGACAATCAGGAGCTTTGAATAGGTTTTGCTTGACACAAGCGTTCATGAATGTTAAGCTCGGCTGAAGAAGTGTTGCTAATGATTATTTAATGGGTTTCTACAGGTGTTTGTACGAATCCCATAAATTATGTTTACGGGTCTCTATGCAGCTTTAGAAGAGCTTCATGAGTGCGTTTGTTCTGGCACTGTCGAGTTTTGTACGTCTTTGTAACCAAGTTCCTTTTCACAGGGCTGTCTAGCGTTGGGCTGAACGCTTGGGCTTCCAGCATTCCGGGTGCAGGCTTGAGCGCCTCGGGCTTAGGGCTTATAGGGCCTTTGGTCTGAGGTTTTTTCTGTTTTCAGGGTTTAGCACCCGTGGATTTTAGGATTAGGCAGGGTCTCTTGGGGATTTAGGTTGGGATCGAAGTCCGTTGCCTTTGACATCTTCTGTAGCCAGCAGTTTCTCATACAGTAAGCCCCACCAGTGGTCTCTCCATGTCGGCAAGATTCAAAAAGTGCTGCCAACAATCTGTGTGATGGGGTCCGAGAGATGGCCATAGTGTTGAGCCTCCATGAATGGTACGGCTTCATGTACGCATGCTGTCCCTGAAATCTCAAAGCCATGTCGCAATCAACTGGCCTAATCACATGAATCTGAACCTCTACCTACCATGGCGCAGGACGGCTCGCATCAAGGGCTCTGCAAGCAGGGATAGGGACGCATGTCAACCAATGCAAGAAAGAGAGGCGCCAAGCAGGTGAAAGCCATCAAACTCCGGTGTTTATCCACCTCGCAACGGAACAACAACGCGTAAATCGGCGTTGGCGACAACTGCCTGGAACACATGAAAATGTATCTCACGGCCTGGGCATTCGGCTGGAGTCTGCGACGGGCGACAGCGGACTCGACATCAGTCCAGCTGTACGGCAAGTGGAAGAACCGCTGAGTGTCCTTCGTCGTGATGCATCTGGTATGAAGACACTAAACCGACTAAACCCTGAACCCTAAGAGGCTGCTGAATCGGTCGGCAGGTGCAGCCGTCCTGTACGAGTTTCAGAAATCAGAGACGTTCACAAAAAGTTTAGACAGTCGGACGGTCGGATCCTCATTATCAGGACCCTTAAACACCGTGCCCCTAACGGATGAAAAGCGCCGCCCAAATGATCCAAACGCCATTAAAGGAACGCAGGGATGGAAGCCCTGACCCTCAAGCCCTAAACCCCTATAAGGTTTAGGGTTTAGGGTTTAGGGGTTTAGGGGTTTAGGGTTTAGGGGTTTAAAGTTTAGGGTTGAGGGTAAACCCTACACCCTAAACCTTTGAACCCTAAACCCCTCAACCCTAGACCCTCTACGCCCCTTACCCCCGAAACCCCCCCAAACCCTAATCCCCTTACAAATCTCAAACCCTACACCCTAGGATGCCCAGTGGTATATACCCTTATTCCCTTTCTGTAGTCCTAGGTTCCTTAAAAAGCTACCCAATACCAAAAGGGAAGCCCTTTTAATCCTAGGTTACTGGCATTCTACTGGTGATGATAGAAATCCTGCAGTATACCTTAAGGGCCTTAAACTATGGGGAATTATGGTATATTCCTTATTATGGGTCATGCAGGATTTATATCATCCACCGTATAGCACCCCGAAGCCTCCATCTCGGGAGCGCCCCCGGGCGAAGGAGCTCCTGGAGTTCGGAATCTTCCCGCAGGCCTCAGCCCTTTTCCCCTCATTCTGCGGGGGGGGGGGGGGGGGGGTTTAGGGTTTGGGTCCTAGGTTCCCTATAAGGACCGACAGGGTCATTAAGGTTTCGGGTTTGGGGTTTGGGTCCTAGGTTCCGTATAAGGGTACCGACAGGGTCATTAAGGTTTAGGGTTTAGGGTCCTAGGTTTCTTCTACGGGTACCCGGAGGCTCATACCCTGCCCCTTGTTTAGGGTCTCTAGTTCTTGAGTTAGGATCTGTTATATAGACAAGTAGGTACGAGTATCCTAAAACAGGGGTAGGGTATGAGCCTCTACAGGTACTACCCAGTACCACAAAAGAAGGCCTCTTTCAATCACCTGGTGACTGGGGAACCGAGTAGTGCTCTAAATTAGGGTCCCGTTGTAGGTCCCCCAAAGAGCACGGCAGTCGATGGATTGAGGTTTAGGGATTAGGGTTTAGAGATTAGGGTCTAGGGTTTAGGGTTTTGAGGCGGGATGTTGGACTACAGCATTTCGGCGGTTCTGGCCTCAGTGCATAGAAATTAGGCGATCGAGATTGGGGTAGATGTTCGAGGCTTTGGGATCCAAGTGTTGTGTGGTTGTCAAAATTGGGGTCCCTTTTGGGCACCCTAAATAATAGGTGCCGTATTATAGCAAGGACCCCCAAAGGGACCCTAATTTTGACAACCACCCAAGTGTTGTGTGGTTGAGGGTTCAGGGCATTGCGCTTAGGGTGTGGACTTTAGTTAAGAGCAAGGGCTTCGTGCCCATCTTGGGCTCCCGGGTTGGTCTTCTTGCCTTTGGTTAGTAGGGAATGGAGGAATGGGGTACAATTATAACTACTATTACCACCATTCTTCCATTCCCTACTAACCAAAGGTAAGTCTTGAGCTTCAACAGCTGCTCTTGGAATGGTTCGCTGGGGGGGAATTATAGGAGGTTCCAAGCCTTCCAAAGCCAGGAGCCTAAAATCTTCAGCCCCACACTCTGTGCCCGAAGCCCTACCTTAAACCCACGTAACCTACCTTTCTAAGGATTTATATAAAGAAATCATATTAGGGAACCCTAAAATGGTAGGTTCCTTAGGGTCCAGTTAAACCCTGTAGTCTAAAGGGTTTGCTGGCATTTCCCTTTTTCTCCGAACTCGCTTCGAGATCCGTTTCGGCGACGTGGAGATGCAGCTTTGGCAGCTCGATCCGGAGGCGTGCACTTGGTGCGAAATAATTCTGAAGCTTCACTACTACAACGGCCGAAGTAGTGGTGGCAGTAGTAGTAGTAGTAGTAGTAGTAGCAGTAGTAGCAGAAGTAGTAGTGGTAGTAGTAGCAGGAGTAGTAGTAGTAGTAGTAGTAGTAGTAGTAGTAGTAGTAGCAGTAGCAGTAGCAGTAGCAGTAGCAGTAGCAGTAGCAGTAGCAGTAGCAGTAGCAGTAGCAGTAGCAGTAGCAGTAGCAGTAGTAGTAGTAGTAGTAGTAGTAGTAGTACCTGCTAAGCCTTGAATGCGATAAAGACCCGTAAAGATCCTCAGTTCGCCACGAACCCGATCTTCCAAACGGCAAAACACGGCCGAGCCCTCTTTTGGCGTTCCAGGGCGTTCGGGGGCGTTCCTGGGGATTTTCGTGATTTGGAGGATGAATGAGATTCCGCTGCCTCTTGCACAAGGCTTTCACCATCTAAGAAGGGCCATGAATCTGCATTTAAATGGCTGTAATCTATAGTGAGTCTATATAAGCTATCTACAGGACCCATACACCACCCTGTAGACAAGGCTTTTGCTTCAAACCCAGGCTTTACACCACCCTATAGACAAGGCTTTTGCTTTAAACCGTTTCGGAGCTCTCTACTGAAGCCCTATATTATATACCCTAAACCCTATATATACCAGGTTTGCTTTAAATCCACGTATATACTGAAACCCTTCGATGCTCCTTCTTGAAGCCATCAACCCTGAACCCTAAAGCCTTCCATAGATCGAACCTCGCCTCCTTTTGTACGTACCAAAGAAAGCCCGTAAATCATGTAATCAGAACTCCCTATGTAAAAAGCCTGCATGTGCAAAGTACCGCATCCCTTATAGCAATAAACTCCTCAGAAACGACCCATAAGATCGCAAAGTCCACTCGATCGGAGTCTTTTGACTCGCATGGCTGTGGCAGTGCAAGTTGTGGCTTCCCTGAAGGTGGGGCTTGCACGTTTACTGGGCCTTTGCATAGTCGATCAGTGAGAGGCTGATGTTTATAGGGTGGTCACGGCTTGCACTCACAAGCGCCAGCCAGCCGCAAATGCTGTCCTTCGCAGGCATTTTGCAACTGCTTCCGAGTTGCGAGCAGGTTTTGTGAGTGGGGGTTTGTGCCATGGCAAAGCCGGGTGCTGGAGATTTGGAGGACAAGGCGATAAAGGTTCGAGATTACCCATTGGATGGACTTGCAGAAGCTTGGGACGACTGCCGTATCGTCAGAAACCGATTGCGAAATGGGTTCAATTTGCTTTGTCACCGATGCCATAAGCTTAAGCAGACTTTCAACACGAAAGTGGAGAGGAATGCTCTGAATGTGCGAGAGAATGCAGCTGTGTTACGGCCTGTTCTTACTTACATCGCTCGTGAGGGTGCAGCTCCGACAATAGACCGACTTGTCGAGCAAATCAGCAGCCTCATGAAAGATGCCAAAGCAGAGCTCAGTGGGCAAACTCTACATCAACAAGCCTGGGCAATTCGACTCCTCATATCACTCCTGAAGAAGAACTCTGGCAAACCAGCTTGGTGCAAGGACCCAGGTCTTTGAAACTTGTATATATAGATTTTCATCTCAGGATAGAAACGAATTGCAAACCCAAAACTCATGTGTTGGACTATATTGGCCAACACACCGTCCCCCATCCAGGATCCCGTGACTCGTCGCCTGCTGATGGAAGTGGGCTTCCTGAGCGACGAGGCAGGTGTTGCACATGAAGCCTGAACAGAAAGTCCGCAAACCCCAAATGTTGAAGCCTAAAACCCTGAAACCCTGAACCCATACAGGACCTTATCACCCTTAAAAACCTGAGTCCAGACGAAACCCTATGAGGCCCATAACCCTGCAAGCTATAATCATGAACCCCAAATGTTGAAGCCTAAAACCCTGAAACCCTGAATCCATACACGACCTTATCACCCTTAAAAACCTGAGTCCAGACGAAACCCTATGAGTATAATCATGTTTATGGTTCTCTTCAGGAGATGACCGGCGAGGATCCACTACCTTTGCAGAACGAGGACCTTGGCAATCTATCAAACACATATACTGTATAGTGAGGGTGCAGCATTGGGTTTGGAGTGCTTCCTGTTCAGTTTCTTTTGCAGGAAGCTGGTGGTGCTGGTTTGGACGACTTGGCTGGAGTTTCCTTTGATGGGACTCAAGCCGAGCAAGCTGGTGGTGCTGGTTTGGACGACTTGGCTGGAGTTTCCGTTGATGGGACTCAAGCCAAAGAAGACGACGCAGCACCCGTGGCAGAGTCTCTGGTTTTTGAAGCACCCGAAGCAGAGACTCGAGTTGTGGAAGCCGAAGCAGCCGAAGCAGAGACTCAAGTGGAAACCCTTGAAGCACCCGAAGCAGAGACTCAAGTGGAAGCCCTTGAAGCACCGTTCGCAGAGACTCAAGTGGAAGCCGAAGCACCCGAAGCAGAGACTCGTGTGGAAGCCGGAGCACCCGAAGCAGAGACTCTTGTGGAAGCTGAAGCACCCGAAGCAGAGACTCGTGTGGAAGCTGAAGCACCGGAGGAGCCCCGAAGTTCAAACAACAATTCATGGTTGATTTTGGGGTCTGTGATTTCTTCGCTAGAAGCCCGAAACCCCCTACTCGCCAGGAGTCGCTCGAATCTTCGATGGCTGACAAGTGCAGTGCTGCCGATGCCCAGGCAGCCTGAGCTGTGAAACAGGTTTCCTTCGAGGCTGTTGCAGCGATTCCAATATGTAGGGTCCCGTACACAGTCTATCACGGCGATCACTGGGCTTCTGAACTGTATATTGTGTATGGGAGATGGGCATCTGTATCTGAAATCGTCCGCCGGCTTATCTGCACAAACCCTGCACATGCATTTCGTCAGGCTGGCCATGTGGCTGAGGAGATCTTGTCTTCTGACGAGGAGGATGTTCGCATGCGGAATCGCACGACACACGAGTTGGCTGGTGTGCTACGGGGCCTGCTATCTAGTGCAAAGACCCTGGTCTGCAGTATATAGGCCATAGCAGCACACACGAGTCCTTCGCACTCCTTGTTGACGAAAGGCATACATAGAACATCCCAGCTTATGTCCCATCAACAGAAGCATCGAGCAGGCTTTCAACAAGGCTTCAGGCTCGGGGTTCATTTGTGGGAATCCAACCGATGGTCTAATCTACGGGGCCCGTGCAATGGTTGTACTGATTATCCGGATTCCCTATATGTGCAACTCCACTATAAGTTCCCAGAACAAATATATCTTTATAACCCCAGACCTAGGATGGATGCCAACATTGTGCCGCAGACGCTGGTGCTGCAGGCCAGTCCGCAGCACAGCTCCTCGGTGGCAGCAAGTGTTGCTGAAGCCACCTTCCGCTGTTCTTCCGATAAGCACGATCTGAAATGTGTCGCGATCTAACCCCGCAATTCTGCCCAATGTATCGATCTTATATAGTTACATACCTCGTACTCAAGGTTCATTGACTCCGCCTCCTTTGCCGAGCCACTCTTCACAAGCGGCTGCCGAAGCTCCCGAAGCCACCGGCAACGGCCGTCCTGACGAGGCTTTTAGTTATTCACGGGTTTATAGGCTTTTTAGGTTAAGGGTTGGGGCTTGAAGGGTTGAGGTTTATGTTATAAGGGTTCGGCTTCAAGGGTATAGAGGTCTTTATATAGGTGCAAAAATTGACTTCAAGGACCCAGATATATACATATGTTCTTACAGCTTCAGGGTTCGGGGAGGTTTAAGGTTCGGGGCTTCAAGGGTTTATGACTTTTATAGTTCTACATGATATATGTTTATGCAGATACAAGGTTCTGGGTTTCATGGCCCTTGATACTGCTTGCAAATATACTTGTTAATCCAATTGAGGCTTCCGGGTAGCAAGGGTTTGCCTATATAATTGTCAAAGAGTTGCATATAGAGGTTTGGGGCTTCAAGGCTTTATCGCCTAATAGGTCAAGGTTTCGGGGCCCGAAACATTTGCGAAGTTTCTTTCCACGTGCAGGAGATGCCTGCTGCTGAGGATGAGTTTCCGGAGGTTACGGGGCACGAGGCTGTAACGAGAAGGGATCAGTTCACCGTCAAGGACTCGTTGAAAGGCCAGCGAGGCCGTGGACGAGGTCGTGGACGTGGGCGGGGTGCCAAAAAAAACGCAGAGCCCGAAGGAGTTGGTTCTGCAGGCAGCACAGGGCCGGTGGAGTCGGGATCTAGCCTCCGCATTCGCCGGAGGGCACACATCAAGTCGGATGACGAGGCCGAGGATGTGGCTTCCAAAGCTGCCAGGACAGACGATGATAAGACCGAGACCGGGCCCAAGGAGGGTGACGAGGAGCCGGCTGATGCTGACGGGGAGCCGGCTGATGGTGACGAGGAGCCGGACGACTCGCCAAGGCGAGGCCGGGGCGGCAAATCGAAGCCAAAGGCAAAGGCGAAGGCGAAAGCATCAGCAAAGGCAAAAGCAAAGGCAAAAGCAAAGGCGAAGGCAAAGTGCCAAGCTAAGGCTTCTGCCAAAGCTAAGGCTTCGGCAAAAGGCAAAGGAAGGGGAAAGGGCAAAGCACGGGCCCTTCCGGATCCCGCTGAGGAGGCAGATCTCGACGGTGATGGGCCCATCCCCAAGCCGAAGAGACGGGCACGGGGCAAGGCCCACGAGGAGCCGCTTACCCGGAGTATGCTCGAGGCTGCCCAGCACAAGACAAAGCTGGAGCTGGCAAAGATGCAGAAGCCTCGGCCCTTGACTTTCGAGGGTGCTGTTCATGATCAGAACCTACCCGATCATGACAATGTTCGACACGCCCTTAAGTACGAGATCATGCAGAACCTCGTGATGTGCAACGAGTTTCACTCGCAGGTGAAGCACAGTCACCTCGGCGAGATGCCTCCGCCGGTTGACTTCCTCAAGTACGAGAAGTACTGGAGCCGATCGGCCGTTGGCATCCGAAGGAAGATGCGGGGCTCAAAGTTGTTCCAGCAGTTCGTGTACTTTGCACGGCCGACGGTTTGTGTTGGTACGAACATGATCCTCGCGAAGTATTGTGCTGCTCGCCTACATACATAATTATATAGGGTTCCGTTTTATTGTGTACCATAAAATTTCTAAACTTATACACTCTGAGCCCTTGGCCCCGAAACCTAAACCTCAAGCCCATGCATGGTTAAAGTTGCCCTATTATAGACTCTGAGCCCTTAACCCTGAAACCTAAACCCTAAACCCATCCCTAAACCCATGCATGGTTAAAGTTGCCCTCTATACGAAACCGTTGTGTTTTGGTTTCTGTTCTTTGTTGCATACATGTTGGATTCGAGGCTGTGCTGATGAAGGTCTTGGGCAACGAGGCGCCCAATCAGTGCAGGGCTTTGGCCCACTACAAGGCTATCGCTGCGACTGCACATGCTGATGCTTTGTTTGGCTGGGGTGTCTAAGGCACCGGACCGCCACAACTTTTGTGACCTTTGTTGTCAGCAGCCCCTGAACAGCCTGAACACAATCACAAACACCTCGCCTCGACCCTGGTCCCCAACATGTGCAGGATATCTTTCTTTCGCAGTTTCCCGAATGCTGGCAAGCTTTCAGTGCCATGTCTCAGCAGACATGCACCCGAGCAGGGGATGATTTCTTAACATGTGCACAGCATGCTGTGCACGTGCCGGTGAAAGAGCTTTTATTGGGGCACTAGCACATGCCATGGCTTTTGCAGGGGTAGAGCAGGAGCAAAAGGCTGTGACCCGATCGTTCCACATGTGCCCGGCTGCAAAAGATGTTCAGCATTTCTCTGCTTGGAGTACCATGCCAGCTTACTTTGCCTTACTGTATATAGCTTTCGATTATGCACGCAGAACTTCTTCTGTAAACCCAAACGACCCGAGTCCTGCCAGGTCCAATGCCGAAGCGAGCTCGCGACGATGGCGAGTGTAATCTTCTGCTTGATCGCACTGCTGCCTTAAATTCGTGGTTTCTTTGTGGGCTTCTGGCTTCCTGAAGGGTCGCCTTGTATCTATAGCAGGGAGAGCTTTTACAACGAGTTTGGGTATCACCCACAACAGAAACCCTATATGTTTCGGGGGGCCCGCTTCGCAGCCTTGTTCAAGACCCATGTAGATGCACTAAGCCCGCCTGTGCCCAAAGGTCTTGTGTGGGTTGAATTTCGGGATTTTGTGCATCCTTATAGTTTGTGTTACTTGTTTAGGCTGTCCAGGCATTCGGGTTCAGGGTCTATGGGATATGTACCTATATAGGCTTTATAGGGTTGTTGCTTTATGTATATATATATATATATATATATGGGCTTCAAACTGTATATAGTGTTTATATGGAGAATTTTACGGGTTTCAGCAATGTTGGATGGTCCAGCTTAGCTTCAGAGTCCTCGAACCAGGTCCACTCGCAACAACACTACTTCACGCAGCAAGGGCTGCTTGTAACCTGTTCCGTCCTTGACCCTTGTCTGCTGTAAGCCCTATACCCTTAATCCTTGGATGTAGACCATTTTGGGTACATATTTATGAAGATATGGGTATAACTCAAATATACCACTCAACCTAAACCCTATATCAGCCCTACAAACACCTGCTGTCACGCATACAGTACAAAGGCCAACCCAAACTCCTTCAGTGCAGGTGCTCGAGACCCTAGATAAAACTATAACCCAAATCTTTATTGGACTACAAAGTCTGTAAGCCTCTATATCACCTAAACCTGAAGGACCCTTAAACCCTAAACTATATAACTCGACACAGCCCTGAAGCCTGAAACTCCCACGTTTTCGAATGCTTCAGTTCTGGGCCCCGGATCAGACTCGAACCGACAATCAGACTCGAACCTTCGTAGGCTCAAGAACATCACACAATCTGCGATGTAGAGAACAGGTATAGGGGCCTCGACCATGCCAGTGCAACGTGATCGTTGACAAAATCATACAAGACTGGGCCCTGTAAACTTTCATATGTATACACTACATAGCCTTGTCAGATACCCTACAAAGACCTATAATACGGGTTGGAAGCCGTGCGATGTGTCCTTTGCCTCGCTGGCATGTAGCGAAATTGCACAGACTTCGTTGGCCCTCTGAAGTCGACGGCATTTACACAACAAGTTCCATTTACGCCAAACCGCCCTGCAACCTTTCTCCAAGCATCCTAGGATGCCGTGGCAATCGTGGCAGTTGGCGGTGCCCCCGTGTAACCTGGGCTGGGTAGCATCTCTCTCTTTCTTTGTCTCTCTCGATCTGTCGGGGTCTCTCTCGCTCTGTCTCTCTCTCTCTCTCTCTCTCTCCTCTCTCCTCTCTCCTCTCTCCTTTCTCCTCTCTCCTCTCTCTCTCTCTCTCTCTCTCTCTCTCTCTCTCTCTCTCTCTCTCTCTCTCTCTCCTCTCTCTCTCTCTCTCTCTCTCTCTCTCTCTCTCTCTCTCTCTCTCTCTCTCTCCTCTCTCTCTCTCTCTCTCTCTCTCTCTCTCTCTCTCTCTCTCTCTCTCTCTCTCTCTCTCTCTCTCTCTCTCTCTCTCTCTCTCTCTCTCTCGCCCTTTTCCCTTCTCGCCTCGTCCCGCCCCTTGCTGGTTCGGCACGATCTCAGGTATAGCATTGCTTTGGGCTGGAGCACAACGAGACTGAGCAACTCGGGTTCGCATGTTCGTTGGGCTGGCTCTGCAGGGTATACAGGGAATCTTGCAGCAGGTCCATCGGTCAGTTCGGGCTTTCGGTCTACGGCTTCCTATATAAGGTTTCTTGAAGTTTTGGCTTTGGGGTTAAGGGCTTAATAGTTGAATAAGGGCCTACGCCGGGCTTTGAATCGACACATTCGTTCGGGTTCTCCGAGCCCTATAATGTTTTTTTCCGGGGCCCAACATAATCTTGCTACATATCGGGTACCCTCTGGCTTGCCCGGCATTGCCTCATATTTCTCACGAACCGAACATTGTGACATCGTGCAAACCGCTTGTCCCAGAACAATGAACTCTGGTGTACTTGGAGGATCGGAGGGCTTAGTAAAAAGTATATATATATATATGTGATATATATATATATATTATATCAATTATATATCTGCTAAACCCTAAACCCTAAACCCTAAAGCCCTTCGTTTTGAGATTGTCTACGAACGCTGAAGACCGATCGCTCGTTTTAGGAGCGAACGCCTCGGAATGGCTTCGAACGGTATTTCGTGTTTCAAGTATAATGATGATCAAGCAAGATCCCGCTATCATTGAAATTTCCCCTTATGTTTGGGGAAAGCTCAACCTCTGGTTTTGCGACTCGCTCCCAGAATAGCACGATCGACCTGAGTCAAGTATCGCCCCAAAGCACGATAGCACAAGGCCTGGACTCAGGGAGCGAATTTCATCCGGACAGCTTGGGTGACCAACGTCCCACATATTGGGCACTTACCAGACTGCCCACAGGCGACCTCGTGAGAGCAGAATAACGAAATACGAAGTCCTCGTCAACCGGCACAGCTTCTGCAGTTTTGGGCACTTCTATATATATATATATATATAGATATATATATATATATATATACGCCTATATATATATACTTATGTACAACGTATATACATTACTAAGTCCTCCGACCCTCCAGGTAGACCATTCCCCGAAGCCATAATGCCTGCTAACTTACAATGCTGATTCCAAGGTTCTGCGATTCTCCGACAAGACCCCTGGCCCATGCAGAACTTCGCCACCGAGGCAGAGAGGTAGCCAGAGCTGCCGCAGCTTTCGCCCTGAGGGCTGTGAGGCATCCTATGCTGATATCACAGATAAGCCCTAAAAGCCCTAAAGGCCCCATAAACCCTATAAAACCCTAAAGGCCCCATAAACCCTATAAAACCTTAAAGGCCTATAAACCCTATATAGATACGCATACGATGGTTGTCGTCCGACGGCCAGTGCATGTGGGGCAAGAAGCACTTATGCTGTTCGCAGCTGGACACTCCAGGTACTCCAGGTATAGTGTGTGTTTCGTGAACTGGTCACTTGTCATCGACTTCATCATATACACCCTCCTATGTATGATATGTTTTTCTGCTCCTATATACTGAAAACAATTGATTGGCTATATATGGGCTTGGCTTGTCAGGATGGAATGGTTCCTTGTGTGGTTGTTTCCTTCTTGTGTGGTTGTTTTCCGCAAAGGCAGATCGCCACGCCCGCCGCCGCCCCCGCCCGAATCGTGGCAACTTTCGGTTCTTTTGTCAGCTCGTGTGGTTGTTTTCCGCAAAGGCACATCGCCACGCCAGCCGCCCGAATCGTAGCAATTATCGGTTGTTTCGTTAGCTTGTGTGGTTGGTGTCTGCAAATCCAGATCGCCACGCTATCTACCCGAATCGTAGTTTTTTGCTGTTGCTTCGCCATGCAACACTATAACACATATGTGGTGATTGGCTTCTTGGGATGGAAAGGTTCTTACCATATTCTTGTTCTCCCGCAGTTTTCCTATACACGTGTGTGGTTGATTTCCGCAAATCCAGATATTTTCCGTTGTTTCGTCAACAACCAACAAACATCATGAGCATCGGTTGGGTGTCTGTGAGCCCGAGCTACATAACATCTCGTCACAACACTTGCCCCCTCCCAGCCCCAAAGACAACGATTCAGAATTGGTTGTTGTTCCAGGGTCCGCAAAACAGGCCCACCGGCCAGCCCTTCCAAACCGGGGCCGTGGGAACACGTTCCGGTCAGTGTCGAAACCGCAAGAGGCCGAAAACGGAAGTGTTTTTGCAGTTTTTTTCTGGGTTTTCGGATCGATTGTAAGCAAACCCGTTCGGACCCGTTCGGACCCGTTCGAACCCGTTCGGACCCGTCGAACCCGTTCGAACCCGAACCCAAAACACAACAATATTACGCAATCGACCCGTACCCGTTCAAAAGGCGTTCAAAAGGCGTTCGAAACCCGTTCGCAACCCGTTCGCGATTACGTTCTTTTTACGCCTTTGACCCGTTCGCCGACCGACCCCCAAATCGCCCCGACCAGGTACCTCCCTGCAGCCTCTGGCCTGAATTTGCCCGAAGTTTCCGACCACCCTGACCCAGACCGGCTGCTGCTGACCATTTTTCTGCTTTCTGTATATATACCATATCCGTTTTAATCGCCTGCATGTGCATTTATTTGATGCATGATCATATATGTACATGTATATATTCAAACATTGTGGCAGGATCAAGTCGATGACATGTGATCAGTTCACGATTCAACTCGGATTGCAGACTGTGCTGAAAGCAAATGAAGCATCACTCGCTGCTCTCTGCATAGGAAGACAGGCTGCATCGGTGCATGCACTTGACTTTTCTTATAATTGTGTGCATTCATGCATGCAACCTTTCTGTTTACTCAATTGACTCAAGGCTTTTTCCCCGGGCTTCGCTCGGTAGTTCCTTCTATGGGTGCACATGAACATACAGACTTCCATACTAGGATGCATGTCATGTTGTATATGAACATAATTTCAGGATCGTCTGTGGGCTTTCTCTCTTATAGGAACCATGTCGCTTGGTGGTGCAGAGACCAAGTGGTCTAGTGAACGCCTTGCAAAAGGGGCTGCTTTAGCTGCTGACCTTGCTGGGCTCGAGCTCACGATCGACCCGTCTTTGTTGACCCGAGAAGCCCTGCTTCAGGCCATCCAGGAGCCTTTCGACTAATATGCAATTTATGGTCTATGCTAACATCATAAAGAATCTAGATGTGCATGCATGTTACAATGCATGTTCATGTGCAAGGAGGCCAAAGCTGTGCTGAGAAATGGGCCAGAGGCCTGACCCGGGACCCACTTCCCAAAACCTATATACACAGAACCCCCTAAGTCCTGAACCCGATGCCTATGCCTATATATACCATTTCCCTGAACCCCTAAACCCCCCGAAAACTCCTAAGCCACGTCTTCTCCCAACCGGAGAGGCTCGCCCTTCGAAGCTGCTCGCTGTGAAGAAAGAGGCCGCTCTGGATGTGAAGCACGAGCTCGCCCTGGCTGAGACTCAGCCAGCTGTGCCAAGTCCGAAAATATAGTTTTGGGGTTTTGGTGTTGGGGTGCAGCTTCGGATGGGTCAAGACGATTGTATAGCTTGTATGGATACTGTCGCCAAGTTCTGATGCACATCTGAGAAAGCCAGAGATTCACGCACGAAGCCCCCCTCCAGCCCTCAAGCAAGCCCTGAAAGCCTTGGAAGCCCACCCCCACAGTCGCCTCAGGACACGTTGGAGATACAGCGGCAGTTCCTTGCACCGCCGGTGGTGGGTGATTCTTCGGCTCAGAACACTACAGGGTTACAGGAGCGAGGGATTTTTTTCTTCCGAGGGAATTTGTGTTGTGTGTGCTGCAGGACACAGAGACAACAGCTGAGAGCACCAACCCCAAAGCAGAGGCAACAGCAGTTCACACGAGCACTCCCCCAGCTAAGGCAGTTCAGAACAAAAGTCCACCAGCAAAGGCAGCCCAGAGTCCCCCAGCTGAGGCAGTTCAGAACAAAAGTCCACCAGCAAAGGCAACCCAGAGTCCCGCAGCTGAGGCAGTTCAGAACAAAAGTCCACCAGCAAAGGCAACCCAGAGTCCCGCAGCTGAGGCAGTTCAGAACAAAAGTCCACCAGCAAAGGCAACCCAGAGTCCCGCAGCTGAGGCAGTTCAGAACAAAAGTCCACCAGCAAAGGCAACCCAGAGTCCCCCAGCAAAGACAGTTCAGAACAGCAGTCCCGCCGGAGCCGAGAAGGGCAGTCCGCCGGCAAAGCCGGCAGCTCAAAAGAGCAGTCCCCCGGCAAAGGCCCCAGCCCAGCAGAGCAGCCCAGCAGCAAAGGCAAGCAAGGACCCACCAAAGGCGGGCACCCCAGCTGAGAATCCACCACCGACCAAGCAGGCCGAAGCAAGCAAAGAGTCGATCGATGTCGGTTCTCTGCTAGAGACGATCCGTCATCTGCAAAGCCAGGTAGCCACACTGCAGGCAGCAAAGGCTGCCCCCGCCACCCCGGTCACGCCGCTGAACCGAATCAAAGGAAAGACGCCGAGCCCAGCACCATCTTCGGCCGCCACAACACCAACACCTGGCACCACAAACGACGGAGACCCAGAGGAGTCCGAGGAGGAACCGGTTAACGACGAAGACGGTAAGCTCATGGTGGTGTCACCAGACGGATCCATTGCATCCCGGCTAAACTGTAGGTCCGTGTCTTGCATGAATGTCACACCATGTGCACATTTGCATGTTGATCAACAGCAACTGAGACCTTGTCTCAAGATGCTCTCAGAATGCGACTTCGCAGACTCTGCGAGCTCAAGGCCAAGACGAGAAAATCACACGTGGACGAGGATGTTCGTGCTCAGTACCAGCAGGGCGGCTCAGCCCGTGAATGGTTGGAGATGGCCCTGTTAGAGAGTCTCCAACAGACCGGACTGGAGAACTCTAAGGGCAGCCACAGGAGGCTGGTTGCACCTAGTTCGAACTATGCAGCTTTACAGGGGATCCCCAATTCATGCACAAAACTTAGGAGCATCCAAGGCCACCTTCCGCACCACCGTGAAAGTGATTCGCGAGAGGATGGAATTGAAAGAGCGGGAAATCAGTGGGGAATGGATGACGGAAGAAAGGATGCAGAAGTCCGGAGAGTATAGCAAGCAGCTTCGTTGAAGACCTATGTACACAAAACCCTTATGCAACCCTACTCCGTATAAACCCAATATGTATATATAGCCCTAATCCAAAAACCCTAAAACCCTAAAGCCCTGGAGCGACAAGAAAAACTTAAAGCCCCAAGCCTGAAGCCCTGAAACCCAAAAAACCAAGGCTGGAGATCAAGTCGATCGTCGCCTACTGCTCGAAGTTTCCGCAGGCACTGTGCCGGCATCTTGATTGCACTATAAGACATTCGTGAGGTCCGGTATCGGTGCCACCTAGAGGCTCCTGACTTTTATTCGTGCATCTAAATATAAGGAAATGGAAGTACAATGCCAGTATCCTTGAATACTTCGTGGAGACTTCTACGAAGCAAGTCATCAAACAGTCCGAACTCCTGAAACGCCACGAGAACACAAATTTGGGAGATGCCTGGCCGCAGGAAGGTTTTTACACCCAGTTCCCAGTGCATGTGTATTTCGGATAAGGCATATGTTTATACCACACATCCCATGGCACACTTGTTTAGGTGACGGAATCTGATGCACCACCCCAAGAGCCTGGAAGCATGGACTGGACGAGCGAGCAAGGGCTAAACCCGGTACCCGAAACTGTGGGCACCAAGGCTGGGCGGGGAATCGTGTTTGAGATGACTATACAATGCTCACCCTTACCTGGAATCTTTGCCTCTCGCCTTCAGACCCTGCCGGATCTCACGAAGCTCATGGACTCGGTTCATGCTCAGATGCTTAACATCAACAAGATTCAGAAGCAGATCCAGGACTCGGAGACAGGGAAGTTGCCGCCACCGAAGGTTGAGTCTCTCTACCTGAGATAATGATATATAGAAGTATACGGCTTTAAGGGGGCTAAGGGGTTTTGAGGTGTGGGGCATATAGAATACAAGGGATCTATAAAGGATGTATATGTATACAGTAGAAGCCAGAAAGTTGGAACATCGGTATCCTCATGCCCTTAGAGTAAAGTATAAGGGACCCTATAGCACTAATCCTCCTAAATCCATGTTCCAACTTTCTGGCTTCTACTGTATAGGGTATCTCGTATACATATTTGTATATATGGGTTTCGGCTTTAGGGGTTCAAGGCCTTTGGGTTGGCTTGTTTTGGGGACCTACTTGGGCGACCTTCCGCATACATAAACCACGAATACAACCTTTTCCAATTCTAAACCCCTATGATCCCAAAGCCCAAAGAGACCCTGTATATACTCTGAGCCCCTAAACCCTAAACCCCTACACCCAATCGATTGCCCGAGTGAGAGCGCCGAAACCCAACCCTAAACCCTATAAACCCTAAACCCTAAACCCTTTGATGCTTATAAACCCTTTCAAGCTCCCCCTTTGGGACCATATTTTGGGTATGACCAAGCTAAAAGCCCCATCCAACTCCCAAGGTTGATGAAGGACCTCGAGAAGATCGACAACAACTTTAAGGACTGCTACCGCCAGCTGGCCGATTTCAAAGTGGACCTCACCCTCCAGGAGGAGGAGGTTGCTGGGGATGAGTTTCTCGCTCAGCACTGATAAATTTCAAGGGCTATGCGGCTATACTGCAATATGAGTGTGGGCGAATTCTCAAGCAACTGTGTGCTTGTTCCCGACATGCTGGTGTAAAGGGTGATTCTTTAGTTGCATGAGCAGTGCTTCGGATGCTACCAAACCGCAACAGGATGTTTTAAGTTAGCTCCTGGGATCTTAAATACCTGCTGTATGGCTCCTCGGCTTTGAGAGCTATGCCTGGCGAAGAAGACGATGAGGATGATCAGTGGCTAATGGAACTCCTTGAATACACTAGGGAGCCTTGCCTGAATAGTCGCAAAGCATGCAACCGTAAAGCTTCATCCCCCGCAAACCAACTGAAGCTGCAACCAATACAGGCACAAAGAAGCTCGTTGGAGCCATCATCCTCGACATCGCCAGTGGTCGCAGTTGCTTGGCCTTGTAGACCTGGGTTCTTGTGTTTGGTGTTTGCCTTTCGGATGAGTAGCACTGGTCCTAGGTGCAACCGACCGTCCCTGACACCTTGGCTATCCGCTTGGACTCGAAGATACTGAGTTTGCCGAGAACCCGTGAAGTGTTCGAGAACATGCTTTCCGCAAAGGAGTTTATCATCAAACTGCCCAAAGTCAACGCACTGGCAGGTCAGGTGGTTCGACATGGGATCAACATCATCGAGGAGACTTTGAGGCTGCACGGACCCATGGTTTACAAAATCGGCTTCTCCTACAATCCGTACAACCGGTGGCACAACAAATCCTTTGGCTACAAGCAGGAAAAGCAACGATGGCAGCACATGGCTATCATATACGTTTCCAGCGAAACAATGGGCCCGGCTTTCCTCGAGGCTGCCCTCATACAAAGGTTCAAAGGCCCCTCGCTTCAATGACAAGTATAGAAAGCTCTCGGAATGCGGTTTCGTTGTTGGTTAGGAACCTCGCAATCCAAACAACTATCCAAGGTCAGCAAGGCTGCCGCAACGAGAGAGATGGTGGGGACACGGTGTGTGACCACTTGGGAGGGCCTTACTTCACATACTTCGTATATCAATCCTTCAAGGCTGAGCCATTCAATGCACGTTTGGCTGCCATGGACTAGAGGTGCTGAGTGTGCTGAGTGCTGCAAAACGAGCCGCATTTAATTGTGTCAGTATATTTCGGCATGTTGTGTTACAAACTGACGGGGTTGGAAGCTACATCATCTCAGGCTGCAGCAGAAGATCGATGATGTTCGGAACAAAGTGAAGAAGCCGACCTTCGGCCACAATGTTCTGCTTTGGGGTCTAAGGTTTGGGTCTATAGGAGGTTTGCGAATGTCAGTGTTCACGCCAAACCTTGGCCCCATGACCCTCAAACCTGCATGTATTCCCCTTATACCCAACAACAAACAAAGGCCTATGTGCAAGCCCCCTCCAGAATTTTGTCGGATCCCCAAAGCACAAATGCCCTATGGTGCTGTTATGTTCAAGCCCCTAATTCTGCGAAATCCGAAACCCTAAACAATCCTATAAACCCTATATACCCTTTCGAGGTCTGCCGATCTCATCGCCTTGGAGTCTCGCATCAAGCCCCCAGGTTGCACTTAAAACTGCATGCCCCTGAAAGCCTCACAACATCCTGTATGCAACCTTGTTCAAGGCTTATCCTCGGCGACGCACGAAGCCGAAAGCGACTTCCTGAGACGGCTCCAGAGCCGAGCCCTGCACCCAAGAAAGGGGCACAGCCCAAGAAAAGGGCTAAGTTGTGAATCGTTAAAAGGTTCACGCCGAAGTTTCCAAAGTTTCCCTGGATCGTGAGAAGGTTGGGATGGGTCCTATAGGCTTTACAGTATCATGGGCTCAAGCTTCAGCATATATAAAGCTTCTATCTGGTTGGAAGGGCTCACACCCATCTTCAATGGTTCATTGCTAGCTTAAACATGCAGTGTGTGACTGCACATACCGTATGTGGTTGCTCGCCGCTGCATGCTGTCGTAGAGCTTCAAGCTGTGCGATTCCCACGGTTGCTCGCTGAAGAAAAGAACTGATCGGAGCTTATATGCCCTAAACCCTTACAAAACTTAAACCCCTAAACCACAAAACCCTCAACCCTAAAGAACCTCAATGCCTCAATCCCTAAAACCCTGAACCCTATGCCCGAAACCCTAAAACCCTGAAATTTCGAACCTTCTATGGTGCCGCTTACGAAGTGCCTATCACAATGCCAGGTCCGAGTGTTGCAGCAGAGCGACTGGCTTGGAACTATGCCACAGGAGCCGCACAGCTGAAGCCAGTAAAGTACAGCATCAGTTTAGCGGCACCAACAGCAGGAGCCATGGCAACACCGCTTCTGAAGCATGACACATATATTATGTTGTGTGACTGTCTGGCCTGAAATTCCCAATTGTCATATCTGAGGCTCCGTGTGCTGGCCTCATCAAGGAGGCCGATGCGATCATGGACTACGACCGACGACAAGAAACACCTGGAGGACCTGTGAGAAAAGTTTGCCCGGTCCTTTGGGAACTGTATGGGGCTTCCGAAACGAAGTCTGATCCTTGGCCTGCAGTTCTGAAGCTATATAGTATAGATAGCCAAGTAACCCCGAACAAACCTGTGCAAAATCCCAATGGGGAACTGCTTCAATTGATAAGCCGTGATGTTATAATCGTATCACGAACCAAACCGCCCTGAACCCTGACCCCTCACCGCCACCGAAACCCTAAAACCCCTGACAAGGAAACTGTGGTGGCTGGGGCTTTGGCAAAACATGGACTACGATTGGATGTTGAGGTTTCCTACGCTCGAGTAGGGACTGACGACAGGTACCCGTTCATCGATGCAGCTTCCTGGATCGAAGTTTTAGACAGGAGCTCAAAACTTGATCGGCTCGTTGGGCAGTGCGGTACTGCATCACTGTCGTCGACTTTGCAGGCTTTTTGGCAAAACTTTCGATTGAACCATCCCTCACATCAGATATTCAGCTCAGACTTGCAGCTTGAAAGCTGCATCCCCGTCTACCTTCACGGGGATGAAGGGACGACTTACAAAAAAGATGGGGCTCTCTGTGTAAGTTTCCAGTGCCCACTTGGACGAGGGACTAGCACGACAAAGCTAGGACAGCTGGATGGCATTGATGACAAGGTCCGTCAACGACTCAATTATATGGGGCACGCCTTTGAAACGAGATTTCTCTTGATCGCGGGTTTGAAGGACACCCCTCTTGCACTATAGCATTTTGGGTATACTTGGACCCTCGAGTTACCTTGTTGGAAACGAGAACCCTGATTCCTGTATAAGTTCTATAAACATGTATATACCCGTCTTTTCCCGAGGATTTTGTTTTCATGCTATAAGCAGCTTTCCTGACAGAGGGCTTTCAATCTTGACAGGAACAGTACCGACTCCGGCCCGAGATGTACGATGAAATTCTGGAGATCGCTGTGAGATCGCTGGATGATGCATGCCGCAAAGGTGTGCTTTTGAAATCTGGCAAGCGGGTGCACTTGGTACCACTGGGTCAAAGGGGCGATTGGTCGTATCTTGCACCTGGGATGAAGGTTGTTGGCAGTTCTACGCCAAAAAGAAAGAGAAACACAGAGAGAGAGAGAGAGAGAGAGAAAGAAAGCACGATACAGAAAAAGAAAGAACAACAAACTTGAGATTCCGGTTTATGCCAAGGCATCCTCAGCGAAGATGGAGAGGAGTTACAAGAACGGCCCCAAGGGTGCTCAGAGTTCCAAACCGAGTGGTGGCATTTGCCACCTTTGCTGTGCTGGCAAGCCGGGCCTGGACTTTGAAGATATGTATCTCAGCTTCCAGATTACAGTTTTCAGGTCTTTTGTATAAGTTAAGAATCTTCTCTGTTCTCAAGGCATCCAAACTCTCAATCCAGCAGGTCCCGAACAGCAGCCTATGCCGACACATTTCACCAAGAGGCTCCTTGGAGACGGGAGCCTGTGTTCACCAGGGTTCTTATGCACGAGCCCGACAAGAAGGAGGCTTTCCATAAGCCAGACTTGTTCCATTGTGTGAATATGGGAGTGGGCAAGACCTTTGCTGCAAGCAGCTGTGTCATCCTCTTGAAACTGTGCCCTGGGGAGACTCCTGATGCACAAGTCCGTCAACTTTCCAGTTGGTTCATCCAGTATTGCAAGGACCCGTGGTTTGCGAAGTTTGCAATTTTGGCGGGTTTACAGTGTTTACTGGGTTTAGCGCTTTTTCTTTCAGGCTTAGCATAGACAGGGCATCTTCAATCGTATATTTCCCATTCCTTGGTGCAGGAAAATCGCAAGACGAGCTATATCCAGCAAATAACTCGGGAGACCCTGGGATGGAAAACTGGTGCTCAAGATCCTCAAGGATCCTGGAACAAGGCCGAGGTCACCACCACTATGTGCCAATTCGTCGAATGGTTTTCCCGCTTCCACGAGTGCGAAAAGAGTGCCGAGGAGAGACTGCGACTGATCGGATCTGGGAGCCGTGCTTTGAACACGTTCATGCGGCTTTTGTATGCTGCTGACCTTTGGATATCGGCTTCGGAAGCACTGAGAATTGCAAAGGCAGGCCGGCATTTTTTGGATGCTTATTCTCGGCTGGCCCAGCTGTCACATGCTGCTGGGGAGTTGCGGTATGCCATGATCCCGAAGATCCACATGGTTTGGCATGTGGTGGAGAATATATACAGGCAGGCTGAGAGACATCCTGTTGTCGAAAATCCGATGGCAGAAGCAGTGGCGGTCGACGAGGACTTCATCGGCCGTTATTGTGCTCTCACGAGATCGGTGTCGCCGAGGACCAGGATACTTCGTTCTTTGGAACGATACTTGTGTCAGGTCCTGCTACTCTGGAAGCGAGGCGACAGCGAGCCGAAAAAACGAGAGATTCAGCTCTTCCCAATCCCAAGAGCAAGTTTCAAACATTGTGGGCTTAGATTCAGCTCTCGTCAATCCCAACAGGAAGGTTCCAACATTGTGGGGTTAGATTCAGCTCTCCCCAATCCCAACAGGAAGTTTCGAACATTGTGGGGTTAGATGCAGCTCTCCCCAATCCCAAGAGGAAGCTTCGGACATTGGACATTGTGGGTTTTTTGTATGATAGAGTAAATATAGAGTTCAAACACCAAAAAAGCGTTCGAGCCCGTTCTGGGGCGTTCGGGGTCTAAAACAGGCGTTCGCTCTTCAACCTTCGTAGAGAACCCCAAACCGAACGGCTTTTGAACGGCCCCAGGGCTTAGCAGGTAGTAGTGGTAGTAGTAGCAGGAGTAGTAGTAGTAGTAGTAGTAGTAGTAGTAGTAGTAGTAGTAGTAGTAGTAGTAGTAGTGGTAGAAGTGGTAGTAGTGGTAGTGGTGGTAGTAGTAGTAGCAGTAGCACCAGAACTAGGAGTGGTAGTAGGAGCAGTAGCAGGAGTGGTGGAGGTAGCAGTAGCAGAGCAGTAGCAGCAGTAGGAAGAAGATCAAGATCCACTACCGCCACGGCTACTGCCACCGCTGAAGTGTTGCAATGACTACCGCGACTACTTACTGCGCTTGCCTTCGAGATCCAGAACCCCACTGAGGTGAAGGGCTAAGAGGCTTTTATGCTGCAAATAGCACGGGGTGAAGGGCTGAGAGAGACTCGGGAGACTAGGCCTGGGGCCCGTGGAGTGAGTTCCTGATTTGGCCCGACCTCGGGGTTCGAAAGCTTGGGCAAACAAGCGCGCAAGCAGATCTTGCGCACTCCATCCTGAGCCCTACCTGGACCCCAAAAGCATGTAGAATAATAGCTTTCTTATAGGGTTTGGTGGCAATATTTTACCTACTTCTGGGGGGTCTAGGTAGATACACAATCCTACAGGGAACTCCAGAAAGGTGGAATATATGGATTAATGGTAGGACCCCCTATAATTTACCTTAGAGGGGTTACGATAATGATATTCCAACTTTCTGGCTTCTACTGTAAGAAGTTGAAGAGTCTCAACGCCCAGACCCGACTGACCTTACACCTCAAGCCTTCTTCGAGTAGGTTCAGAAAATGGGGCGGCCGGTAACTCCTAGTCTTTGAGAAGTTCCTCCCCCAAACTAAAAATGCAGCTTCCTGTACTATCATAAGGAACCACAGTAAACCCTCGTTGCCCTTCGGTTGGGCCCCCAAACTCATCATCGATTTTCCCTAGAAGCCGCTTCAATGAAGCCCTTTTTGAACCCATTGCTTTGAGGAATTTCCGAACTGTTTGGCATGGGCCCCTTGAAGAGGAGCTACTTCGCGAGCTGCTCAGCGACTGTGATTCGGACTCACGCCCACATCAGGCCGAGATATCGATGGATTGGGCTTACATGTTCCCTATAAGTCTAAAAGTTTAGCAGTTGCTGCAAGCGTTCGAAAAGGGCTCTTAAGACTACTAACTGATTACGGGGGTTTAGTGTTCAGGGCAAAGGAGCTTTGAGGATTCTGTCATTGCGGCTTGAAGATGGCTCGTCTACAATTAGCAGCTTCAGGGTTTAGGGGTCTGCAGGGTTTCGCGGTCTCAGAACTTCTGGTTGCGACTGTAGGGTTTAAGGGTTTAGGCTTTGGGGCCCGTTGAGGGTTTAGGGTGGGGGCTCAGTGCGCAGGGTTGGTTGAGAGGAAGGATTGACAGGAAGGTCAACAATTAGGAGCACATGTCTTTCGCAGGGTCGCAGCAACATTCATACTTCGAGGCCCCAACGGGACTTAGCAAGCCGGTCGTGTTGGGGCGGCGGAAACCACACACCCGAAGCCCCAAAGCTCAAACCCTCTTTAACAGAAGCTAAGTTGGGGTTGTCCCACTGGTAGCCCTGCTTACAACCTATTTGCTCGGTCTGTGGGCGGAGCCCCCAAGTAGATCTGCAAGCTATCGGATTTCTGTGTGAACACCTAAGCCCGATAAGCCCTAAACCCCTGAACCCTTCAACCTTATTTCCTAAACCCCTGAACCCCAGACCCTAAACAGTCAGTAAGTGAGGGCTTCAGGACATTCGTGTTGCGTCTGGCGGCGTCGGAGCCTGGGGCCAAAGATTCGAATAGCAGTATGTTAGTAGTATACAAAGCGCCAAGACCCTAGTGGACGTGTTCAGGCAAGACATTGTGGGTTTGGGGGGTTCATGCTCAGAGCTCTCTGCAAAGATGGGAATCAAGCTGCCACAGTACTTCAGGAGAGTCTTGGCGGTTTGGAAGTTTCTGTGGCAAGCAGAGAAGTCCCAGGATTTAGTGTCAATGATACTTCGCAGCCCATAAAACTTGTGAACCCTAAACCCCAAACCTAGAAATCACCAATGCGGTTGCCGCAAGGCTGCGATGGAGCTCGTGGAGAAGTTGCTTCTTTATCGACACAAGGACTGCCATGCCAGAACCCTGCTGGAGCCCAGGCCCCAACACATTAGCAGGGTTTGTGCAGTTGGGAGCTTAGGTCTTGGTGTAGTCCTAGAAAAAAACTGCTTCATGTTGGAGCTTAAGAGCTTCGGTCCCAGGGTAGCTGTGAACTCAATAATTGTATTGTCGTGGGTCTACATTCATCCGTAGACCTCTGATGAACCAACCGGCCATGTTCAACGACCAAAATCGCAGGATGTTTATCAAATCCTTCTACGAACTTGATCGAAGGAGGGTGGTTTATTGACCAGTGCTTCTTCAGCTGCAGAGTCAACTGGCAGCCTACTTGATTCCTGCAAATGGTGCAACCGTGTAGACAGCCCTGAACTCTGAACTCTGCTCAAACCCCAATCCTGGTTTTGTTTTCAGGTCATCCTCGAGTCTGAAGGTCTGCTGTAGAAGAACAGTTGCATACTTTATTGCTGCAGCATGGGCTTGTAAGGCATGTCGACCCAGGTTTTGTTGGACTCTTGCTGCCGGGTTTTAGAAAGTCCTGGCCGCGAAAATCCTGAGGCCGCGCGCTCCTGGGCGCGTCCTTAATTGCTGATGCACATTGATATTCGAAAAGCATGGTCTTTCCGGGCTTATCTTCGGGCCAAGCTCAAACCTATCTCGATTCAAAAAGTTGAGAAAGATTCCGAAAGTTTATCGCCGGATTCTCAAGACCGCGGAGGCCATGATGCAAATCGGACCGAGGTCCCAACCTCTCAGCCCGACCCCCCAACTCAACCCTGAGAGCCACAAGGGCCTCAAAGGGGGCAGTGTTCAGGGAGCTACGGTTGATGATATAACTCCTGCACTACCTTAAGGACCCTAAACTATGGGAATTATGGTATATTTCTTACTATGGGTCATGCAGGATTTATATCATCAACAGTAGGACCTTAGTACTCTCAGTTTAAACACCCGAGATCCTAAACTGCGGGAAACCCTCAACTCTCTATCCTTACTCCTAACCTTCCCTAGACCCTAAATCCCTAAATCCTAAATCCCTAAATCCTAAACCCCAAATCCCTAAACCCTAAATCCCTAAACTGCAGGAGGTTCTCCTCCCACTCCTTCAGTTCTGTCAGCTGCACCTGGAGGCCAGATGACTCAGAGACTCCAGCCTAAACCCCGACACCTCTCCATCCCCACCCAAGCAAGAACAAGACTGGCTTGTTGTTACGGGATGTACTGAAGGTACCATAATAAGTGAACTATAGATCCCTACTATGTCCCTCATCAAGAATCCAGAAGTTAGAGCAAAAGATGAACCCTACACCCCTAAGGCCTTTCGTCCCGAATCAGGGGGTCCTCAACTCTACCTTGTATTGGCAGAAGCTTTCCAAAGTGTTTAATTTAGTGGTCAGAGAAACGAGTAGTGGTACTGTGTCTTACAGAGTTTCCCTCGGAGACACTGTTAGACTGATTGTGTAAACACTCCTGACACCCTAGTCGACCTAGGCAGGCCTAAGCCGGGGTGTCCTGAAATTACAACCTTTTGTCAAAGGGGAAAAGGAGGGACCCTTAATGGGGACCCCTACCCTATAATGGGCTATATAATGGGTATATAATAGCTATGTTAAGGGTATATACCTAGGGGTCCTTATTAAGGGTCCCTCCTTTTACCCCAGGACTCTTGGAGTTGTTATAAGACCTCGGGGCTTCAGGATTGGGGAGCTTAGGGTCAGTTACGAGTATTCCCTTCGGGTCCCCACATGTGCATGGTACAACCTACGTACCATTACGTACCCACCACCACCGACGTCAAATATTAAGACCCCTATGGAGGGACTGGGTTTTGAGCCCCATGAGAATTCAAGTGAAGTGGTGCTGTTGTGTTTTTCGATATGTGCCTTCATGACGATATGCACGAAGAGTCCTACTTTCGTTATGGTTTGAAGCCATGAACCGTCTCCCATCCCTGCCCTGATTCTAACAAAGATCTGGACCTGAAAATCCTCAGACTCCAAGTGTACACTGACTTTGCCGCAGCTGCTCAAGGGATCGCGCTTTGAGTCGGATCACCAAGAGCGCCGAGGCACAGCAGTTGTAAAAGGGAACATCCTACGCCAAACTCAGCAAGTTTAAACCTAAACCCTAGGTTCGAAACTGCCCGAAACTCACAGCCCAAATCCCTGATGCGCTGATTCCGGGGCCTAGGGTTCGACGGTGCCCTCACACCTCAACCCTAAAGTCCTAAAGCCTCGAGCAAAGCCGTGAGCAACTACCTGACCTAAACCTTCAACCCAACTCGCCCAACGACAGGACGCGCGCGTGTGTGTACACATGTGAGAATGGTTTCCTCTCTCCGTCTGTATATACATATACTTATATATATATATATATATATATATATAAAGATATAAAGGTATACATAAAGATATATGTATGTGTATGTCAATTTACCTGTTTCCTTGTTAGCCAGCTGAATATGTTGTTTACTCATTGCGGAAATGTAGATTTACCTGCATATCTAGACATGTTCTAAGGCTTCTAATATTGACTCACTTGTTCATGCATGTAGACACCGGCGTCCGCACACAGAATCACACACTAGGCCTGCTTACTCGGTCAGCTTTGCCCGAGCCGAAGAATGGGGCTGAATGGTGCTTCCAAAGGCAAGGGCGGCAGAAAAGGAAAGAGCCTGAGTCCTTGTTTGAACCCGTTTCCAGGGGTTACCCTAAATATTATACCATATGAGGGGTTACCCTAAATCCTATACCGTAAACCCTATAAGGGTTGCTACAAGGTGTTTGGGTTGAGGCTTGAGGGCTTTTAGGATCCAGGGTTTCTATAGGAAGCTTCGGGCTTTTGGATGTTGCGGCGTAAGTTGCCATGACTTTCCCTCTTTGTTGTATCTTAGCCTCAGCCTAAGTTGCCATATCAGGGATATATGGCACAAGAGATGGCATCTGAAAAGACAGCTCTTTGCCCAGGAGCTCTGATGATGCGGTGAGCCCTGCTTTGCTCAACAGCTTCATCAAGAACTCCTGGACGATAGAAGCCCTCTTCCAAAACTGTTCGCGGCATCAGAGGAAGTTTAATCATATTCATGTCTCTGCCTGCTGGAATAAGCTGGGACATCTCTCCAAGGACTCGGAGCAGTGGTATAATCAGCCCAGCAACCAATCAGCGCTGGATTCCCTGGTCCAGCAAACCCTTCTAGTTGTGCAGGGTACTGACATTCAGGCTCGGCAGCTGGCGAATATCGTTCATGGCATCGTGAAGAGTGGTGCCTTGAAGGTTGGCACAGAATCGCTCGGCGACTTGATGAAGGCTTTGGCCGGAGCATTTCGGGAGCACATGGGCAGCTGCAATGCTCAAGAGCTGGCCAATGCAGCCTGGGCCTTCGCCAAAGCTGGCCATGTGGACACTGAGCTTTTTTCCGCCCTCGCCGCGGCGGCCCAAGAGACATGGTATCTTGAGAACTTCAATGCGCAGGAAGCTGCCAACACCACCTGGGCCTTTGCCACCGCAAACCATTCCGACCCCAAGCTCTTCAAGGCCTCTAGGACCTAGAGTAGGCCCTTATTCCCTTTTTGTAGTCCTAGGTTCCTGATAAAGTTACCCAATACCAAAAAAAGAGAGGCCTTTTTATTCTTTGGTTACTGGGTATCCTAAACCCCAAACCCCTAAACCCCTAAACCCTAAACCCTAACCCTACTATAGATCCCTTATAGATCCCTTAAAGGAACCCCTGGGTATCCTAGAAGGCCTTGGGCGAGGTGGTCGAGATGCGTCTGAGCAGCTTCACCCCTCAAGGACCGACCCCCAAAAAAACAGGAAACCCCTAAACTACCTATAGTCTCCATTGTAGTTCCTTTTTGGGGTTACCTTTTAGGATCCTTAATATAAAATTGGCTAAACCAAAGAAAGGAACTACAATGGAGACTATAGGTATACTTTAAAAACCCGAAGCCCGAGGCCCTAAACACCCAAAGCATCACCCCTCAAGGACTGGCGAACACCGTCTGGGCCTTTGCCAAAGCAAACTTCTTGGATGCGAGGCTGCTCCGCAAAATGGGAGATATGGCCCAGCAGTCCATGGAGCTATTCAATGAGATGGATTCTGGGCTTGGGAGTACCATACTTTGATCCTTTTTTCCTTAAAGCAACCATTACGAAATAAAATTTTATACAAGAGTACTTAAAAGCCCAGGATTTGGCCAACACCACCTGGGCTTTTGCAAGGCTGGGGCAATTTGACCCGGATCTTTTCGCAGCTTTGGCTAAATCGGCAGAGTGGCACCTGGAGCAGCAGAGCTTCAACGCACAGGGCCTTGCAAGCACGATTTGGGCATTTGCGAAGGCCCCGCGGTCGCAAGCTCGAATTTCTCTTATAATGAACCCGAACGGCCTGCCAGATCTGCCAAAAACTCTCAAACCCTGAGCCCAAGACCCTACATCTGAACTCTTGCAACTAAGCTCGGAACCCCGAAAGCCGACGCCCCTACCCCCTGAACAAACCAACTCTGAACGCTCTATGCTGGCGCCGGCAAAGCTTGGAAACCGCTAGTCCAAAACTAAGCCTGGAAGCTCGAGCCTTAGGAGTCGTGTTGATGGCTTTCGGGTGTAGGGATTTAGGGTGCAGGGTTGAGGGACTCTTGCTACTGCACAGTTGGGATCGGTGCACTCTTCATTCGGCGCGAGGATATTTAGAGGTCCCTATCATGACCTGGGTTAAGGAAGCAGTGCACTGTCTACAGTCAGGAGCCCACTTGAAGTTATGATAATGGGGATATATCTTAAGTAGTATGCTTTCACCCTTTACATGAAGCTCCCCAAGAAGACCCGACGACTCGAGCTTTGCAAAGGCAGGCTACCGGGAAGCCGCACTATTCGAGGCCAGTGTGTCGTGTTATAGAGGCCCCCCCCCATACATAACGGACAGATTTCATCTCCTCGAAGGGGCGACTTTGAAAGCACTAGGGTTTAGTGCCCCGTCTTTTCCTTAGAGGAAACCCTCGAAACCCCGATCCTCAAACCCTCCCCAAGACCCTCTTCACCCTACTGTAGGAGCCTTAATAACTAGAATAGGGTGCTGGGGCCAAATTATAATAAGGAACCCCCACCATAGTAGTGGTAATTATGTAGGCTCCTATGTTAAGAGGCCTTCACGAAAGCCGTCTGCCAGCGTTTGGCGACAAAGCACGGCCCGGACTTCAACTCCCAGGATCTCCGCATGCGAAACCAGCTTAAACGTTCCCTTGGGTTCTACCGGCTTCTAATGGGTTTGTGGGCCTGTGTAGGTCTTTAGGGGTTTTGAGGATTTTGAACCCGGGGGCTTGTTCGGGATATCCTGGGCGCCTAAACGACCTAACCAAGCGCACAACGCCTGCCTTTAGACGGATTTTCGGAGCCTTTTCGCACCTGGAACGGCCCGAATAGCTAAGCCGCGGCTCGAAGCTCCCATACCTCTACCGGTGGCTTCACATGCCAGTACGTGGGGAGGTTTTAGGTTTCGAGGCTTTAGTTTGAGGGTTTTAGATTGAGGGGTTAAAGTCTGTCACTTCGGGATCACAACCTATTGCAATGCTTGGACTCATTCGGTCCTCGAGGACCTGGCCAACATTGCCTGGGCGTTTGCAAAGGCTTGTCAACTGGATGAGAAGCTCTTCAAAGCTCTGTCCCGGGCAGCTGTGGGGTGTCTGGACGACTTCAATGCACAGGACCTGGGCAACATAGCCTGGGCGTTTGCTAAGGCTGGCTATTTCGACAAAGAGTTGTTCAACTCCGTTGCAAGCTCCTTCTGCAATGGCAAGCAAAACTTGGATGATCTCACTGCACCCCATGTGGCCAACATTGCCTGGGCCTTTGCCAAGGCTGATGTAAAGTTGGATGTGCCCCTGTTCAGTGCACTGGCCCGATCTGCATCGCAGCGTGTTGGAGACTTTACAACGCAGGAGACTTCCATTTTGGCTTGGGTCTTTGCCAGTGCAAACCAGCTTGATCCTGGGCTCTTCGCATCCTTGGCAAGTTCAGTCCTCAGCTCTTTGGACGACTTTGACGAGGAAGAGCTGGACAACATGGAGTGGGCCTTCGCTCGCGCCGGCCAGAGGAAGGTCGTGAAGACGCTTCAGAACAGAAAGACGAAGACGACGAGCTCGAGTCTGGGTTCATGTTCACGAAGCTAATAATAGAAGGGTAGCGCATGCAAGAAACTATAGTTGTTGCTGTATCATTTCCGCTGCATAGCACGTTGATGTGATGTTTGTTTATATTCTCCTTTTCTAATACCTTATATTAAGCAAGCTCCTTGACACGAACCCAGGAGTGGAGTGTTGGCTTCACTTGGATCTTTCGAGAAGCCAAGCTGTGGCCAAATTGCAGCTTGGCTCCCCGCAGAAGGGCCAAGACCCCCAAAAGCACCGTTGCAAGAGCCACTGTAGGAACTTAACGGATCCCTGCTGGCTCAAGCCCCTTAAGAACATAGGTTGCACAATTGCTTCATAAGGATCTTACTGCAGCTTTATACATAGGACGGTTCTTAATTATTTCCGGGGGTTGTTGGGCTCTTTGAACTGAGGCGTAGTTTCCTCAAGGTTGGTGTCTATCAGGGCCGCTAAAGCAACTTAATAAACGGGCAGTCGGATAGGAGCAGCCACGAAGCCTGTGCCAGAGGTAGTCGCAGGTGGTGGTATCGGCGGCGCCGCAGTGGCAGTAGCACTGCAAAGTAGAGGCTTCGAGGTGGTCGTCTTGGAAGCCGACGAAAGCTTTGATGCGCGAAAGCAGGGCTACGGCTTGACGATCCAGGGCTATGGCTCCACTACCCAGGTCTTGCGCATAGATCTGCTTTAGGGGTTTAGGGTTTGGGATTTATACGGGTTCAGGGATTCGGGTTTAGGGTTTAATTAGGATTTAGGACTGGTTATAAGGGTTTAGGGATTCGGGTTTAGGGTTTAGGATTTATGAGGGTTTAGGGATTCGGGTTTAGGACTTATAGTGGTTTAGAGATTCGGGTCTAGGATTTAGGAATTAGGGTTCAGGGATTAGGGTTTAGGGTTTAAGCCACTACCCAGGCCTTGGGCATAGATCTGGCTTCTGATGATGCACCATCCACGTCGCACTATACCTTCTCACACTCCGGGGAAATCTTGGGTTTCTTCGGAGAGGCTTTTGGCAGCAGCAAAGATCGGAAGGAGAGTGAAGGCATCTCTTCCGGTCGATTCATTCATATTCCGCGGCAGATGCTTAGGAAGCGAATCCTGGATAAATTGCACCCTGGAACGATCAGATGGAACAGTAAGCTGAAGAGCTTCAAGTGCACGCAGAAAAAGAAGAGTCCGAAGAATGGAGTGCACATCACACTGACGGATGGAACGAACATGGATGCAGGTTTATTGGTCGGATCTGACGGGATATTTTCAACGGTTCGACGTCAACTTGCACTTCCGGGTGACCGCCTGAACTACGTTGGTCTTGTCGTCGTGCTTGGAATAATCCGGGAGGAGGAAATGTGTGTTTCTTTGGCCCGCCGCCGCATTTTTGAGACGGTTGACGGGTGCACAAGGATCTACGCGATGCCGTTCACAACCACCTCAACCATGTGGCAGCTGTCCTTCCCTATGGCCGAGGAAGCGGCAAAGAAACTTTGCAAAGATCAGGCGGCCTTGAAACCTTGCCAAAGCTTCAGGATTTTTTGCTAGGTTTTATCCTCGTTGGTTGGAGAGTATCTTACCTAGGACTGTTCACCATGCTTTAGCCCTAAACCCCAAACCCTAAACTATAAACCCCTAGAGCCTAAACCCCTAAACCCTGAATCCCTGAGGCCTAAACCCTCTGCCAAACCCAGGAAAGCAGAGATCGTGCGGCGATGCGAGACGTGGCATAGTCCCATCCCTGAGATGCTTGCCAAAACGCCCCTGGACTCCTTCTCCGGGTATCCGGTCTATGACCGAGACCCTCGGCTTACGAGGGAATTCATTCTCTCTCTCTCTCTCTCTCTCTCTCTCTCTCTCTCTCTCTCTCTCTCTCTCTCTGTCTATAAGATATACATATACACGTGATTACACATGCATCTGTAATTATTTGATGTTTGATATATGCTTCATGATATATGATACATCAGTGTGCGGAATTTCGGGTTGGGCGTCTAACGGTGTTAGGGTTCAAAGCTTTCGGGCTTCATGACTGGGCTTAGGGGTTACAAGTTTACGGTTTTCCAAGGGTAAAAGGAGGGACCCTTAATAAGGACCCCTAGGTGTATGCCCTTGATATAGCTATTATATAGCCCATTATAGGGTAGGGGTGCCCATTAAGGGTCCTTCCTTTACCCCTTTACGGTTTGGGAGCTCAGGGATGGAGGATCTCAGGGTATGGGCACGAGCAGCCGATCGCCAGAGCCCTAAAACCGTGGAGCTTCTTCGGTTTTAGGGTGAAAGCCCTGAAACCTTACAGCCTTTCGAAGTTAGACACTATAACTCAATCCCAATATAATATAGCTATAATATAACCATACAAGAAAGCTTAGAAACCTTCAAACAACCCATGAAGCCCTAAACCGCCTAAACCTCAGAGCCCAGGACTTGCTCGAGCCCCACGTTCTCCGCAGCACGGAGGAGGCCCTGCGTCGTGTGACGCTGATTGGCGACGCAGCCCATCCCATGACTCCCTTCAAGGCAAGGCAACCGTTGACTGTTTAGGGTGTGGGTGGAAAACCTAAACCCTAAGTCTCGCATACTCCTTGCGGTAAGCTCCTATAGTGGCTCTCATGGAGACGCTACAAACCCCAAAACATCCCAAAACCCCAAGCCTTACAAGCCCAAGAACCCTTCAGACCTTGCAAGCCTTGTCAGCTGTTAAAGACACTATACACACTACAACCCCTACAAACCCATTGAGCCTCGGACACCACGAAAATGCCCCAACCCTTACAAACCCATCCTCCCTAAACCCTAGAACCCTTTCAACCTAAAACCCTCCAAACCCGAAGCCCAAGAATCCCATTTACCAACCCTACTTGGAGGATCATGGGACTTGGTAAGTAAGCTTATAAGTACCTTAATTGGGGTTATAAGTATCGTTACCCTAATTAGAACCCTAGTCATTAAGTCCCATGATCCTTTCAGTAGTAGTATACAAAGGAACCCTTTAAACTCTGAGCCCTAGATCCGATTTACGATGCCAAGTCCCATGTTCCTCTGAGTAGACCCTAAACCTTATAGATCCCTTTAAGGAACCCTGTAGATCCCTTTTAAGGGGCCCTTTAAGGAACCCTAGTTACTAAGATCCCCTTAGAGCCCTTTAAGGAACCCTCCAGATCCCTTAAGGAGCCCTTTAAGGAACCCTAGTTACTAGGCCGTGCTTTTTGGCAGGCCCAAGGAGCGAACCAAGCCTTGATCGATGCGGTGCTGCTGGCGGATGTCCTTGTTGAGAGCATCCAAAAGCGCCTAGGCTAAGGGCTCCTTTGAAAGGGTTTCTAAAGGCGGGCATAGGGTTTTAGGGCCTGGCTCCCTGAAAGGGGTTCTGAGGTGGGCGTTTAAAGGTACGGATTATGGTGTTAGGGCTTGGAGTTTGGGTCGTTCTTCTTTTTTTGGTTACGGTGTGTTTAGGGTTTTCGTGGCCCCTACCTGAAACCGCATACTAACATCGAAGCCGGTATAGTATAGTGACCAATCTTATCTTGCTGGGGTTCGGTGTTATAGCTGATATATACACCAAAAGAACTTTCTTCGAATTATGATAGGCCCTTCTATATCATAGAACCCTCATAGTAGCCCTTACAGACCCCATTTAATTCTTATAGACCCCCTTTAATGAAAGCCCCCCTATACCGTAGAATCCTCACAGTATATAAGCCTTATAGACCCCTTTAAATGAAAGGCCCTAAATTCAAGATAAATCCTAAATCCTAATTACAAGAAACCCTAAACCCAAATTATGAAAGCCCCCTCTATTCAAGACCCAGGTCAAAGGGGAAAAGGAGGGACCCTTAACAAGGACCCCTAGGTTTTTAAACTTAATGCAGCTATTATATACCCATTATATAGCCCATTATAGGGTAGGGGTCCCCATTAAGGGTTCTTCCTTTCACCCTTGGACCCAGGTCGGGGGAACTGGGCCTCGACGCGGCGCTGCCGCTCTTCGAGAGGAAGATGTTGAGTCGATCGGCGCGGATGGTGGTGGGATCCCGGGAGAGCCCTGGAAAAGGAGGGTTTAGGGTTGATAGGGTTTGGGGTCTATAGGGCTTATAGGGTTTGGGGTCTATAGGGTTTAGTTCGTTGCTCCCGGTTTCGGGGGTTTGGGGAGTTTGAGGGTTGAAAAAGGTTTGGTTTCAGTGCTTTTCTGGGTTTGTAAGGGTTTAGGGTGTTGCGGCTTATAGGGTTTTGGTGCTTCAGGGGTTTACTGTGTTTGGGGTTTACGGTTTGCAGTGCTTACAGTACCAGGTTCAGGCTTCCGTGAAGACTTGGCACGGTTCCGTAGCTAGGGAGCCGATTTCCCGGCTGCCTTGCCAGAGAGTGAATCCTAAACCCTTCACCCCAAACCCTAAACCCGAAACCCCAAACCCTAAACCCTTAACCCCAAACCCTAAACCCGAAACCCCAAACCCTAAACCCTGATATCTCCGTGCTGAGCTGTGAAGCCTCCTGCAGCAGATGGGACTTTCCGAAAATGGGGGGGGTACCTTATTTTGGGGGTCCTTATAATAATAAGGCCTAGTATTTAGGGTACTGTATTAGGGCCCCCTATTTTCGGAAACTCCCAGATGGGTAAGGCAAGCATATTGAGACACACGAATTTGCAATAGATGGACAGGCTAAGGAGAGCTGCAGTGTGGCATCTAGGTTCTTCACCCTGTTTTGCGAGGATGAGGTAACAATAACCTTGAGCGAATCGAGAATGGGCTCTGGTGTAGATTTGTGGATCGACTCACAATCCCTGTTGAATGAAGTGTTATCTTTCTAAAGCCCTATTGTTCTATAATACAACCTCCGAGCGGAGCCCTTACCCTAGACCTTCATAAAATACACTGCTATAACCCCAGACCCGAAATCCTCCATTCTACAAAACTCAGATGTTAAATCCTACAGATTTTATATGGTCCTTCAGGGAGGGTGGTTCAAGGTACAATAGGGATACTCTAAGATCATAATCCCGAACCGCCAAACCCTGCAACAAACCCCTAAACCCTAAACCCCTTAACCACTAAACCCCTGAACCCTAAACCCCTCAACCCTAAACCCCCCTAAACCCTAAACCCCTAAACCCTAAACCCCTAAAGAAGCAGCCGACCCAGGAAAGCCCGGGAGATGCACAGCCGGCTGGCCTTGCAGCCTGCTCGCAAAGTGCAGCGGGAAACCGGCCTGGATCCGCAGAAGGCCTTCCTAAAAGATGTTTAGGGGCGTTTAGGGTTTAGGATGGTTTAGGTGAGTTTAAGGTTTAGGGTCTAGGTAATTTTCAGGTTTGGGGTTACCATTCGGCCTGCAAATAGGATTGGTTTCGGGCTTGCGCCCGTATGGCCTCAAAGGGTGGTCGAGGGGTCTAGGTAAGGGCATAAGGGTGTAGGATTGAGCGCGGCATTCCGTTTTGAGCTTATAGTGGTGTAGCGTCCTAAAGAGCAAACCTGAGTCGCTCTGATCCCTGAAGGCCATCCGCGTCCTTCGTGAGAAGGGTATCGGAGCTCAGTGTGCCGGGACCGCACAAAAACCATGCAAGGTTTAGGGTTGCATCTTATCCCTGGAGTATAGTTAGATCTTAGACTAACTTAGGGGTGTGTAGGGTTTCGGGCCCCGTTTATGGGACCTAGAATATACAAAACAGTGCTGAGGTGCAATGGACCCCCGCGGTTTGGACGCTGTAGTGGCTGAAACCATTGCAGAGCCTGGCAGTTCTGAGGCCTGGAGATTGATGAACGGCATTGAATATGGTTTAAGCTAGCTTTTGGGATTCAGGATTTTGGAATTGAAAGTTCGGTTTGAGGAACCTGTGTTTCCCTAAATCGCGAAACTCTAAACCTCAACAGCCTACTCTACCCCAGCCCCTAAACCCCCGTAATATCACCCCAACGGGAAAGTTGGTTCTGTCGAGGCCTCAAAAAGGCGTCCGCTGAAGCGTCCGAGGGGCGCAGAAGACGTCGAAGCCCGAAAGCCTCGAAAGAAATCCCGGGAGGAGGCCCTGGAGAAAGGAGCCGGTTCGGTTATTTTTGAGCGGGGGGGCGGGGGGGGGGCGGGGTCGTGAGCTTTCGAGGTGTTCAGGCTTTGAGATTTCATAAGCCTTTTAGCGTGTCTGGGCCATATAAATTTCTTCGCAGAGAACGGAGCTCTTTAAGGGCTTGGTTGGGTTCTTACAGAAGGCTATCCGTTTTTAGTTGGGTCTTCAGGCTTTCAAGCAAGAAGTAAAAGTGCAGCGCTGAAGGAGCCATGTCGGAGCCTGCGCCAAAGCAACCTCTCTGGGGATACATCGAGGATGCCTGGCACAAGTGCGTGCTGTTGGAGATCAAGAAGTCGGGGCGGCACAAGGCCTCAGGATCGGTCCAAGCGGCAATATAATATGTCAGATACATTGGTTCCACAACTATATATATATATATATATATATACATATACATATATACACACACATCTGTAATGAGTAATGTGTGTGTTTGTGCGCGTGTGTGTGTGTGCGTATGTATGTATGTATGTATGTATGTATGTATGTATGTATGTATGTATGTATGTATGTATGTATGTGTATATATATATATATATATATATGTTTATACATGTACATCTACATGCATGCAAATGGTGTCTTAGATCCGTCGGGGTTGATTTAGTCCAACTTGCTTTAGTTGTCTTCAGGATTGGGCCCAGGAGTATCTTATCCAGGACTCGTTATGATACCAGTTGTCCTAAGTACTACTTTGGGTCACAACATAGGAATGACAAGGAAGGGTCGATGATGATTTGTACCAACAGCCCTGTAAATTCGACCGGAGGTGGAGTGGCTGGAAGATGGCACCCAGAGTCTTCTGAATGCAGACTGTGTGCAGCCGCGCGCGAAGAGAGGAACAAGGGCAGCGCGCCGCTTCAACTCTAACACCATGCCGTGTACCACAAACCCTCAACCCCGCAGCTTAAGGCCTTGTTCCTGAACTGGTTCTAAACAAGACACGAACCAAGGGCCTGAATGTCCTGACCCCAAAGCATATGCGTGAAATGACATGTGGTAGAGGATGGGTTATTTGATTAGGCTGAAACACCCAAGCCTTGAAATCGAAACCAGCCCGCTGTGCACCCTTGCGGGGAGTCTGCCTCGACTTTCACAGGCAGCCTCAGAATCAATGTAGGTTTAAGTTCCAACCGCCAGCAGCATTCGTGCGTGTCAGTTCGTGTATACACTCATACCATGACGTGCCCGCGTAGCAACCACCATCAGTTCAGCAAGGTGTGCCGGTCGGTGTCTTTTCATGAATGAGGGTCTAGTGGCTAGTGAGTCACCTGGGAGGTTCGTCCGAGGCATGTGTTGATCCATCAGATCTGGAAGATGGAACTGTTGAGCACGACACCCTAACTGCATGACCACGACTACAACATCGGCAAGTTCTGAACAGTTTCCCTTACACTCGGCACCGAGGCGGCAGATCAATCCGACCTGGCCCACGCAAACAAGGACATCCAGCAGCACAAAGATTGCACTCCAAGCTTGCTAGTGTTGTTGGTCGTGCCATTGCCGTGATCATTGGGTGGTCTTGGGTTCAGCGGCTAGGGTCCGTGCACTGCACGTCTTGATGAAACCTTGCCAGCCAAGCCCATAAAATATACTCTCACAGGAATGAGCTGAACACACTGTAACCTGTAGGAGGAAACAATCCACTGCACGACAGTACCCCTTTATTGCAAGCATAAATGTACGCTGCCACGAATGGTAGTATCAGCATCATCGCCATCATCATGAGAAACTTCCATTTGCGGAACAGCAGCTATAATGTCTTGTATACACGCAGACACACACATACACACTCACAAACTATAGCAACTATAGCAATACACGTGCATGCATGCATACAGTACGCACAGTACATAATACATACATCCATACACACATTTTCAAGACATGCCACTTCAAGACAGGAGGGCGCCCTGGTCCTGCTTGGCCTCATGGCAGACCACTTGGTTGACCTGGACCCCACACAGCTCCCGGAGGGCGGCGAGGCATGTGATCGGCTTAGGGTTTAGTTGGAGAGAAACACGAGATTCGAAAAGCCTCAATACCTGGAAGATCATTCAAGAAAGATTCACAACGCCCACCACCCCTGAACTTAATACTCTGCCGGTGTGTGCGTGTAGTTGACAGCTCCACATTTTGGTGCAACGCCTGTAAACTGCGAATACAAGCTTCATGCGGTTCATATTGGGGGTTGCGGGTCTGGTAGGATCTAGCTACGGGTTTGGAGTCGACGTGGGATTACATATAAAGGTCTGGGTTCAATTAGAGTGAAAGCAGCTTGCCTTGAGAGTACCACATGCTGTGCCACTCCACTCTCCGCGTCGTGTGTTGATGATGCCCAAGGCTTTGCACAGCACCCAGACTTGGCGAAGCAACGCTCCCTCGTGTAGTTTAGAGTTTCGTTTAGCTCAGACTAGTAGTAGTATGCTCCGGCAGTCCCAATGCATCTACTGATATACCCCAGGACTCAGGAGCCTATTGTGATTATTCCACCCCCCCCCCCCGGTAAACAACGGACTTCCCAGTTCAGATAGACGCCAGTGCGCCTGGTTTTGTTTTGGACATGGCAGCGGGCTAGAAGGATAACTCTTACTTCAGTCCTTCAACCCAAGAACCGAAAAAACTGAGGGCCGTAAGCCTTACAGTAGAAGCCAGAAAGCTGGAATATCATTATCGTAACCCCTTTAAGGTAAATTATAGGAGATTAATCCATATTCCAACTTTCTGGAGTTCCCTTTATGTCAAGCGCTGAAGCCCCTTTGGAGCCCCTCCTCTCCCCAGGGCAAGAAGCAGAAGAAGAAGGGCCGAAATCGACCTTCCCAGACGGTCAGCCGCAGGGCCTGAACAGAGCCGAGTGGGGAACCGTTAAGCTTTCTGAGTCTTCCCGATCACCGTAGTTGGTTTGTCATTTTTAGTCTTCGTCTTATGGGGCTTCATTCTAAGGGGATTTATATGGAAGTTTCCGAAAATAGTGGAGCCTAATATAGTACCCTAAATAGTAGGATCGTACAATGAGCCAGACTTCGATCACCACTCTCATAGCTTATTGTTACAGCTGACTACTGTTGTCAATATTTGTGCGATAATAATACTGACATTTACTGCCATTCTTATCAATACTGTGATTAGTTTGTGCTTACAACTATCGGATATGTTTGCTACTATAAGTCAAAGTTTAGTACGGTATGTTCCACAAGAATTAAGTGGCGGACCTGTTCTTGGCTAGGGAACTTAGCAGCTGAGGGAGGCTCAGGGATTGAGATCTTGTGCGAGGGTTATGTTGAGAAGGGTGGCAGGTATGCACATCTCAGGATAGGGTTTAGGGGGTTTAGGGTGACGCAGAGAAAAACACCACAGACAGCTTGCGCTGGGAGAGTTTAGGTGAACTCGGCACCTATCCAGGAAATAGCGCCGGTTGTAGCTGCGTGTCGGTGTTATGGTAGCTGCAGATAGGCTCTGTTGACAAGAACCCGATACACATCAAAAAGCCTGATACAGCACACGAAATCGACGAAAACCCTTAGAAGGCCCTTTTCAACAGTTTGAATGCCCTACACCTGTCAGGTGGGAAGGACTCGAGCCGGAAGCCCGAACCCCTGACATGATGGCCCAAAGCAAGGAAACCATAATTAATACAATAATTAATAACCCTATGCTTCCAAGGACCTTGTAGTTGGAGCCCTAGACCCCTTAGGGACCCAAGAATAAGGTCCCTGGAAGCCTAGGGTAAGGAGCCACAAGAAGTCTTGTTTTTGTTTGCAAGGTCCCGGCAAGGCAAAGGGCTCCGCGTCCGAGTATCCAGCGCTAGTTACACCCTACTTGGAGGATCATGGGTAGTTATTAGTAGAGTTATAAGTCCCCCAATATGGGTTATAGCTATAGTTACCCTACTTATAACCCCACTTATAACTACCCATGAACCTCCAAGTAGTCCCGCCAAGCCTGAAACTCGGTTCCCTGGAATCTCAAGACCTACCCATCGTCCCCATAGTAGTTCCTTTTTGGGGGTTCATACTAGCATCCTATAAGGTAACCCCAACAAGAACCACTTTGGGGCTTCTGCTTAAACTCTAAAGCTTAAAGCCGCTGACCCGCAGCACCACCAAAAAGAAAAAAACGCCAGCATCCAAAAGCCAAGGACTCTGAAATGCAAGCCACTGTTATTATTAATACGTTATTATTACTATGATTGTGACTATTATTATTGTTGTTATTATTATTGTTATTGGTATTGTTCGTACGGTTATTTTTGTTGTTATGGTTATTACAGCCCAAGGTGTCGAAGAGCTGCTGGCTCGATTCGTTCTACCTGCTCTCAGCTCCTCTGCAGCCTTCGTGCGAGACCCAATCGCACTTAGAGCAGCGAAACAACGGAGATGTGACGGTTGAGGGTTTAGGGACGTTTAGGGCTTATAGAGTTGAGGGTTTAGGGAAGTTGAGGGTTTATGGGCTGTGGGGTTGAGGGCTTTTGGGAAGTTTAGGCTTTAGAGTGTTTTTTTGGGCCATCGGGTCTAGGGTTCTGGGAAGTTTAGGGTTCTTACCCTGCCCTGTGATTACAAGGGCTTTCTGTACTATCCTACACCCGAGGCTTCCAGGGACCTTATTCTTGGGTCCCTAAGGGGTGTAGGGCTCCAACTACAAGGTCCTTGGAAGCATAGGGTACAGCCTTCAGACGCGTTGAGGGTTGACGGGTTGTTCTAGGGTCCTTGTACAGGATAGGCTGAGAGGATCCTGACCCTGCAGCAAACTCCGTTATGGGAGTTTCCGAAAATAGGGGACCCGAATATAGTACCCTAAATGGTAGGATCCTTAATTATTATAAGGACCCCAAAATAAGGTATCCCTAATTTTCGGAAAGTCCCTTATGGCTAGTTTACCAAGTCTTGAAATTGTGACTCAATGTCAAGTCCCTTTCACAGATAGAAACGCACCCGAGCAGCATTGTGCATTTGTTGGAGGGGTTTTGGGATACGGTTCTCGCTTTCAGGGTCTTGGTTGAAAAGTCATGTCATGTCCTTTCGTTTTCAGTTGCAATCTGGATAGTAGCTCGCACAGTGATCTGTCGGGTCGATACTGGGGCCGCGGATTGTGTTCCTGGCGTGGAAAAGATGCAACGGCACATTTAGAAACAGTATGCACTTACAGTCCATAGTGCCAGGATATGCGTTTTCTACAACAATCCCCCAAAGCCCCATTCCAATCATTCAGGCGCCTCCTTCGTGCAGGTCATGCCAGTTAATCTTCAACGAGTTGCTGTCTGTTGAATCGGGCTTCAACGGAGCCGAAACGGGGTGGCTACCACGGGGCCTTTAATGTGAAGAGGGTATACTAGGGACTG